CAGATGGTTCTTTAAGTTCAACAAATTTCTATTAATTTCATAGGGATATCATTGAATTTTGTGCAAAAAAAAAAAAAAAGGGAATAGTATTAAAATATTAGAAAAATCAAAAACAAAAAGGGGATGATTTTCGAAAAAGAAAAATAAAGGAAATGTCAAGGATACAAATAAAACAGCTAATAACCAGTAAAACAGTTAATTTTGCCGAAGAAATTCGTAGTGTTTTTCTCGTTGTCAATTTGTATGGATTCTTTGTGATTTACAACATCTCAGCGGCGAGCAATAAGTTTCTAATACCAGCAAAAGATTTCGCAAAAGATAATATTTCAATCTAATTGTTTATTGTTTTAATCATGATTCTGTTGATTTAAAAATTTTAAACAATATTTCGGCTGCTTATTTTGTTCCACATAAAACTAATAGGGATGACATCATCACATGATACATGAGATGCATTAGACAATGTTTTAGGTTCTGCATCTTAGATTTGAGTTGCAAAAATTGAACATCTTCTGATTTCCTAATACCCCCAAAAGCAAAGTTCCTTGATGATAAATTGTTAGTTGCGAGTAGAACTATGATCTTCACTGATTTAATACTATCATATGCAGAAATACTGGACCTGACTTTCATAGCACTATTACAACCATTAACATGCAATCTGATCCCTTTTCGTGAACCTTATGATCAATTGCTTATTCATCAAATTCTTATCAAAAGTGCTTAAGAAAATCCAATTGCAAATCTTACCTAACAATTTATCTACCAATGCACCGCTACTATCCATTCCATCATCATCTACATATTTTCGGTACCAATCTCAAAATCAAATCTTACCTAGACCACATAATATCAATGTTGTCGGCAACAAATGAGTGTTTCCCATTAAAAGAAATCTCAATATCATATTTGATAAATATAAGCAAGGTCAGTAGCAGAAAAAAAAGTACTGTCAACGATGTGGGGTTGAGTACCTAGAAACTTTTAGTCATATTGATCATATTACCGACCAACTAAATTCTGCTTAGAGCTTACTCACAGTTAAAGTTTTTCGCCCCTTCCTGTAACTGTGTTTAATGAGGATCAAATCCGAGAGCCCTTTCCACATGTCTAACTCGCGTTGTCAACTGTGAAACGACCCGTAGGTTTTCTGATTTTTTTTTTTTTTTTTTTTCCTTTCCACATGTCTAACTCGCGTTGTCCAACTGTGAAACGACCCGTAGGTTTCTCTGATTTTTTTTTTTTTTTTTTTGAATGGCTATGGAGCAGCCAACCATTGTGGCGATATCTAGTGAAGAAGTGAGCAACAGAGTTCTTACCAATACAACTGTTGAAATTGTTTATAGTTATAATCCCTTACTTAAATGAATTGGTCCTTTGTTCTCGACTGAGGGGTTGTTAATTTTTTTTTTTTTTTTTTTTGAATGGCTATGGAGCAGCCAACCATTGTGCGATTATCTAGTGAAAAGTGAGCAAAGAGTTCTTACCAATACAACTGTTGAATTGTTATAGTTATAATCCTTACTTAAATGAATTGGTCTTTGTCTCGACTGAGGGGTTGTTAATTAAGGATATAGAAAAATAAATTGTTAATTATCTTTGTAGTTTTCTCTTTAATTATATGTTAGTAATTCTCTTATTTTAAGATTATCATAGGTTGGTTAGGCTAAATATTTTTTCATCTTCTATAATTATATATAACATATATATATTCAGGTTTTCCCTTTGTAATCAAATGATGTATACAAAATAAAAATTATCTTTCCAAATGTTAATTTTGACAGGCAGAATAATTTTAATTCGTAAAATTATTTGAATGGGTGTTAGAAACTTTCCTAATGAAGTGTTAATGTCAACAATCTTTTTTTTATTTTTTGTTCATACTGTTTCCAATGTAGATTGATAAATCAATTTCCAGATCAAATCTTTGCTATCAGGCTTGGATTATATACATATATATTTCAAAATCCTCCAACTCCTTCACTGTTCTTGAGACTTTATAGGTGATGAAAATTTCATGAAGATACAATGTACAATTTCAAGTATTCATCTAAGCCAGATCGATTCGAGTTTCAAGTATCGAGATTTCAAATTGAGTCAAGTTCGAAAACAATATCTTATTGGCTCGACTAGCGTCGATTCTCCTCTACACGTTACCCATTGATTGGGGAAAAAAAAAAGGAAAGAAAAGAAATATTCACCTCCACTGTCTCTCAATTTGGGCCCCAAGCTATTGGATTTGAGGTGTATTAGACAAGTCCATAGTGCAGCAATGATATTTAAACTAGAAATAGCAATACACTAATAAAATCAATACTGTGTGGGCCAATTGGGCCTTGTCCAGCTTTTCTGCCGACACCAACAAATGGACCGCAGGTGCTGGCCACTCATTTCTCACCGTCAACTTTCTCGTTAGTAAAATAACAAAAAGAAGGAACTCAAGTTGGCATGGCACTGTTATTCAATCAACCAATTAATCTAAAAATTCAAATTAAAAACTGAAAAAAAAAAAATCTAGGAATCACGAAAGTCATAAAGGTGATTTTCAGTCAGTTGAATGTGCTTCGCATCAAAATTGGCAAAAATCAAATTAGTAAAAATTATTTGATAAAAAGGACTGGTCAAATTTTATACGAAACCCCAAATTGAATCGAAACAAATGATATTTTAAATTTTTTATAACTGATATTAATTAACAGTGATTGGTGGACGGATAAATATATACTCGTAAAGTTCTAATAAGTTAGTAAAAATTCATAAAATATTTTCCTCTTTTAAACAGGAAAAGTAAAATTAAGAAAATATTTTATTAATTATTTGTTTTAAGTATTCTAAATATTTTTAAATAAGTTATTTTTCAAAAATAAATGAAGTCTTAAAGCTTCAATATAAATGATTTTGTAGACTAATATTAGATCTATTGATATGTGTAAAGTATTGATATATATAGGATATAAACGAGTTAAGTTTTGGCTTTAACGAGTTCAAGCTTTTTTCGAATTTGAAAATTTCAAACTCATACTCCATTCAATAACCTTAAACAAGCCAAGCTTGAACCCGAATATGGATTACAATAGATAGGTTTTGGGCAGGGCAATGCAATTGCACAAACAAATCCTATCCTATCCCCAATCTCCTATCTTACTCAATACCTTATAGGGTAGGAACTCTTATACCTAGTCAAAACCAATAGGTTTGGGTTCTTGGATTTTCGTGGCCATACACTCGTATCTTTTAAATTTTAAATTATATTGAATTGAAAAAAATAAAATATTATCCAAATGATTTGTAAAGTACATAAAAAATATGAAAATAAACTAATAAATAAAAAATATATTCATACAATGATAAATAAAAATTTTAATTTTAAAGCTACTCTTTATTGTAATACTTCATTTAAGGCTAAAGTAATCGACTGTCCAACTGTAATTATAACAAAAAAAATAAATTAATAAAACAACTAAAAAATTCATATAAAAAAGAATGAACATAAAAATATTATTACTTTGTACATTTCAAATAACCATTATTATCATTATTTTTTTTGCTTCATTATTTGCGAAATTGAATTTAAATCAAATTTTAAATTTAAAAATTTGACCAATTCAAATTAATATATGAAAACTAGAGTGAATTCATTTTGCACTATAATAAATTACAATAAAAATAAAATTATAATTTATGTAGACAATTTACTGCAAGTATCTGAAATTTATTAAAAATCTCATATCTATAATTTTAGATTTTCAATTCTTTCAGGATTTAAATTTCCAGTTATGTTTTTGTCCTTTTCTAAAGGTTCCGGTCAATTCAAAATCGGTATGTAATTGTGATAGCAATGTGTATACTCTATCTAGAGCAAAAATAAAATTTTGGAGGTTTACCCAAACCTAGTCAAAACCCTAAAATTCGAGTTTGACTTGGTTTGGATCAGGTTGATTTTGTTATCCTTGAACTCAGAATAAAATTTATCAAATCAAAATGACTTTTTTTTAATATAAATTTAGTTAATTTTGACGTATTGAGTTAAGTATTGAGCTCAACTCAACTCGATAAAGTTAGCTAATAAATTTAGCTCGATAAGCAAATTCACAAGCTCAATTCCATAAACTTATTAAACGAGCTTGAATAGATGTTTTTTTGAAAGTCGAATCTCGGGTGACGACTCTCATTCACAGACTTGGACATGTGAAATCCGTTTATAATTGAAGGTCCGTAAAGAAACTGTCTTCCTTGATAATCTATGAGGTTTAAATAATTACATTTACGGATTATTAACACCTCCATTTGAAATGAACTTGAAACATGCATCTTCTTATACTTACATAAAATTCATGTTTAAACAAGAGTTTATTCACGTTCTTGAACCTAACTTGCGTTTCAAAATTTGACCAGAGCTTTAATTAAGAGAAATCTATACATTTTAGTTTCAAACTTCTAATTTTAAATTCTTCTAATTCGTTTAACAACCATGTGATTATGTATCATGCATTAAATAATGTAATTCATTCATCGACATTTTCAATCACTAAACAATGACAAAATCAATATTAGACTTCATTAAGAAACGAGTATCGAAATCATTGAATTAAAACCACTGTAATTTATTTATTCTTTAATGAAAATTAAAAACGTTTTTTCAATTTTTTTTAAAGAACAAAAACGAAATAAAAGCAACATTTTCTTATATATAAAGAATAACTGAATATATAAGATGGTTCTGTGTTCGGTCAATAATTTACGCAAGATCAGAATTTTATTTCAGACGGTGGAGCATAAATACTTTTTTTCTTTTTGATAAATATTTATTAAAATTGTAAACATATATAACCTTTATGAAAAGCGAAAGTTATGATCCGTATATGAAAATGTATGAATTTACGCGTAGAAAAATGAAAAAAAAAAAGCTGTATTTTATTGAAAAAAGACTCTGTAATTGTGTATACATATGTATTTTTTGAGAATCAAATACCGTTTCAGGAAACTATAATATGAGTTGATTAAAGAGAATTATCTTCCGATGGAGGATCCGAGTTTAGATCCAAACCCGTATTCTCATCCACGCAATCTTCTTCCTTCCTTTTTGGTTCAATATCGCCGTTAACTTCCTCAAAATCCTCTTTCTCAAACGACGGTTCCCATCTTTTGCCGTCATTCTTCTCGAAATACTTAACAGCCACGCGTATCCTCCTTAATATTGCAAAGAACTCCTCGACTTCTTCCTCCGTCGCTGCCGTTTCTCTTTGGTTAAGTGCTCTCTTTCCCTTCGATCTCTTCCTCTCTCCGTCATCTTCCCGCTTTCTCTTCTCCGCCTCCATGAATTAAGAAGAAAAATACTGCAAGGAAGTCTTGTTAACGGCAGAAAATACAGAGAGCTTTCGGTAAATTTTGAGAATGGGATGAGTTTACGCGTCGGTCATTTCACATGTGTTTATGGCGGAGAGGGTGGCAGAATCAATTGTATTTATTCAAAGGGTTGGGTGGACGATGGATGGTGACGGGGTGAGTGACGTCAGTGTAGGTAACTATCCTTTCGTCACATTAACTATGAAACGATGACGTTGAAAACGGGGAGGCAGCAGCCACTAGGAAATTTTATTAGCGTGGATATTATTTTTTGGTCTAAACTCTAAAAAAGAATGGACTCGCTAATTTTGAAATTTAAAATATGATTTATAAAATTTAAAAAATGAATTGACTTATCTTGACTATGAATTATGAAAAAATATGTCTTGGTATTCTTAGTTAAGTTAGAATTTTCCTGATCTTTGGTAGTTTAGAATTAATGTTGATTAATCCTACATTCAAAATAATTGAAGTGTATTGAGCTTCCTAACAATTATCTGATGTGAAAAGTATATGCCTTATATAAAATAAATTTATCTTTGTCAGTAACTTGTTTAAACTAATTGATTTTTTATTCATATAACAATGGTCTAAACATTTTTATTCATATAACAATAGTCTTTTTGCATTTGCTTTTTATGGAGTCCATTTTTATATTATTTAATGGAAATCATAATTTTAATTTACTTTCAGGATTCAAATTGATTTATAATATATTGATAACTTGGCCAACGCGCAAAGTATATGATAAAATAAATAAATTATCTATCAATATCTGTTCTCGACTTATATTATTATATTTAAAAATATATTTACATAGATCGGATTCATTGCTATACGTATGAGCTAATTCAATGAAAATGTGAAAACAGAAAGTATTGCAACTAATTACAGAATGTTCCATATATTATTATAATATTTTAAATTCAGCAAATCAATATGAAAAAAACAAAACACATTTTTAGAATTACTTGTAAATAAATTTTTATCGGATTACGCAAGTTACTCTGAAAATTAACTTGAAAAGGTTCAAAATAAAATAATTGGTAAAAATTTTCACGAGAAACGCAAAATGAAAAAAAAATGCTATTAATAAAAAAATATTATCAATAGTTATATTACATCAGAAATTAATATATTTTATTTCAATATAATTATTAATAAATATTCGTTTTAATAGAATTTATAATTTAACAGGTGAAAACGTCGTTTTTTAAAAAAATATTGATATGGTATGGCGTAATGGCCGGAAACCTGCCGGTCTATAAATGGACCAATTCCGTTGAAATTAGTCAGTTTATAGCATCTTGAGAAAAGAAAAGAAAAATCTTTTGATGTAAAGATAAGATCGAACAAATACATCCAAAGGCCCTTTAAAGCAAAGCAAAGCGTTTCATTATAAATTCGGCTGTCTTTTGTCAGGTTACCCATTACTGGACCGTCTCCTTCTTCCCGGTCCATATTTTGGGCCCAGAGTTTTATGCAAAAAGCCTGTCCCTACACGTAAAGGGTGACTTAACACTTTACTATTTTATAAATAATACAACCTTTATTCAATTTCCTAAAACTTTTATACGTCTAATTTAACTTTTATACGTATTAAAAAAATCATTTCTCCATCACATAAAAATAAGAACCTTTCTTTTCTTGTCTTAAATTATAATTTTATAATATTTTATTTTATTTCTATTTAATATTACGGATATCTTTTAAAACAAATTTAATAACTTCATCGGTCTTATTTTAATCGCGATAAATAAAATATTTTATTTTATCATGTTTTAAATATTTATTTAAGATTTTGAGATTATATTAATTTATTTTTTCAATTTTACTTATATTTATTAGACATCATTTCTTTTTATATTTATTTTTAAGATAGACCATTTAATATATATTTTTTAAAAAATTAATAAATTCTAATTATTTTTTAACCGTGAAAAGTCCAAATATTATTATTAAAGTAAAAGTACGGGAGTACTATAATAATTTCCAAACTCGCTGTTCTTAGTTTAAGTTGAATTGAATTAAAATATTTTGAAAGTAGATTTTAAACAATTTGACTATTTATGCCTCTAGCCACTCTAAACCGTTGGATCTTCCGAATCAAATATCAGCAAATGTTTTTTTTTTTTTTTTTTTTTTCCTTTGTTAATATTGTATCGTTTGAAAAATAGAGCCAATAGTTAAATAGATATGATTTTGTAAAAATTAATAAATTCTAATTAGATATTTTCTGTAAACCGAAGAAGTCCAAACTATATTAAAGAGTAAAAGTACGGTCGGATAATATTAATAATTCAAACTCGCTGTTTCTTCATTTAAGTCGAATTGAAATAAACATAGTCTGGGAAAGTAAGATAAACAATTGACTTATTAACCTCTACTCACTCTACCGTGATCCTTCCGAACAATTTTTTTTTTTTTTTTTTTTTGACATTTAAATCAGCAAATGTTTTTATTTTCCAAAAAGTTTCACTAAATGTTAAGAAAATGCATCTTTTATGCTAATTATTGTTGTTGTCAAAAATATTGTTTATTTAGCAGACAGCTTGAGAATGAGATTTTCATAAGAGAGACTGTGAAAATTGGTTATGCTAATACAAGTTCACTAATCTACAGTTATTTTAAATAGTTATGTAAAAAGGGCAGATAAAGCAGTAAATAATGTTTATTTAGCAGTAATTAACATTCCGTTTGAAACAAATAAATCATGATTGTAGAATTTATTTGTAAATGAATTTGTTATGCTTGGTATGCTACAATTTAAGATAAGAAATTTAAGTGACTTCCGCAAAATTATGTTTGAAATAAATTCTTAAATGAAAATTCAGTTGTTTTTATTTCTAATAACACTCTTAACATAATAATTTAAAAAATAAATGACGAACTCCAATTATATTTATTATGTAACAATATAATAACTTGTCATTTTTTTATTAAAATATAAATAATAAATTCATATAAATATGTACACTAATATTTCACGCTAATTAATTATTTATATAAGCAGTAACATTCATCATAATATAGAATTGAAAAAATTATTGATATAAGTACGTGTAAGTTGAAAAAAACTAAAAAAAAGAGAATTTATTGGGGTATTAATTGTATTTGAAAACAATTGTTGATATGCAGTTTTTATAGTTTCAAGTAATAATAGCTAATGTTATCACTAGACTTCAAAAACGGAAAAAAAAAAAAACGTCATTACTAGTTTGAGATTTTTCATAAAAAAAGGATAAAAAAGATAAACTAATGTCATTATTGGATTAAAAAAATAACATTGTTATAATTTGGAGATTTCCAAAGAAAATAAAAAAAAAATAAAAATAGTTGAGTTTACAGTGGAAAGGTAATTTTATCAATAAATATTTCAATGGTCAATTTTGTAAAATTTATTTACAAATTCTATCAATTTTAGTAGATTTTGAGTTGGAGATGCCCAATTACATAGATTTCAATTCGTAAAATTGAAATCTATATTTTTTTCATTCTAAATACAATATTTTGAATTTTCAAATAAATTTCTTAAAATTTTATAGAATTTATTTGTTTCAAACCGATTCTAAATATTTATGTGAAAAAAAAATTAAAAAGGAGCCTTAAAAAGTAAGGAGACTGATGACCAGAAGTTATTTATAAAAAATTAAATGATCGTAATACATAAATGACAAGACTTTTGAAAATGTAAAAGACAATAATTAAAATTTAAATACTTGGAATTGAATAATTGGTGTGGCTGATTAGGTTACTTGTTTGTTGGGCTTCATTTTATGGGCCCCAGAAAAATACATAAGATGCAGTAACTTTTAAAGTTTTTCCAGACAACTCATGAGCTTTGGTTTATTTTAGAAGTTTTTCTCTAAATATTTAAATAAGATCATAAACACTAATATTAATTGGAATGGAGTGACAGAGACTCATTCTTTCCTAATCAAAAGTCTTAAATTTAAGTTTTGAATATAAAAATTACGACACTGAAAGAATTGGCCATAATAATTCTTTACAGAACTCGAACTGAAGTGGTCGAAATCCAGTGGGATTTTAAATACTGGTGTGTAAGTTCAATATGACAGTATGTTCCAGATTAGTCTAATAGCATGTGAACCGAGATAATGGATTTAATTTACTTAGTGAATTCACACTTATTAGTTTGAACAACTAATTAATTGAAATATATGTGTTTTTTCTGTTTTATCTCAATATGGCATATTAATAGTTACTTTACATGCTAAAAAATTACTTTCATATTTAATTGACTTTTTTTCATAATAAATTTTATTATAATATTAATTATTTTTATTTGTCTTGTTATTTTATCGAGCTAAATTCTTTTGTATATGAGATTAATTTTGTTTTAAAGTTAGTCCTCTCTATAAATGAATTTTCTTTTATATATATAAACTCGGATGATATTGTGGACTATACAATATGGTAACCTGCCTCTTTAATTAATATTCACCAAATTGATAATAATTTTTATAGTGAAGACTAATCGAATTTGAGACCTCTACAAAATATGAAAAAATCAATCATACAATATATGATCATTGATATAATTTTCTTTAGTTCAAATCTTGACTTTAAATATACCATCTCTAAATTTAAACTCATTTTACTATTTGAGCCACTCAGATAACTAATTATAACCATCAACAATACAAAATAAGAGATCACGTTTGCTTGCAAAACTTAAAAAAAAAAAAAAAAAAGGATAATTTGAATAGCAAAATGTAAGCAATTAATTAAATCCATGATGAAATCTCTCTTCTAATAAAACCAATAATCCGCAATTAATTAGAGCTTAATTTTATGCTTAGCGAGAATCAAGCATACTAAAAATCTGAGAATTATTAAAAATTTTAAAACTGGAAGGTTTGCACTTGAAGACAAATTAAGTTATGACATGTATGTCCAAAGTTCATCGTACAATGTAATTAAATTATAAAATGATATCTTATTGAATAAATACAAATCAATACTGCAAACAAAAATAATACTTACTAATTGGACCGTTGAGAAGTTGTTACACGGATGGAATTTAGATTCCTGTTTTCAACAAAGGAAGCAAATAATAGTAACTTATTAATATTTTTTTAAAAAGGGAAACCAATTTATAATAGATTTAATAAAATTTTAATCTCGAAAATAACATGATAACAGCGGTGCATTAACTAACGGATTCTGTTTCAATAATAATAATAATATATTTGTTGACTGGATCCAAAAGCAGGCAAGCATCCAAAGCAGATTTGAAATTTTTGTGCAAGTACAAGTTATGTATTAATGGAGTAATATTTTTATTAAGGGTCACGAGGGCATCAGACACATAATCCTGCTGTAGATTTTTATCTTTATCTTCAAGTATTATTTCTCAAATCCTGTTCTGTTCCTTCCTAAACTGATAATTTTTAATTTTAATGAATTAATTAAAGACCACCGACATCATTCTTTTTCTAGATTTCTTGAAAAATTTTCCATTCATACTCTCATATTATTGAGAGAAAAAAAAAAGCCATATCCATTTTATCATATGCAAAATTACTTCTCTTCCTTCCTAATATGATTATTTCGGTTTATAAGTTTATTCATGAACCAAACTGATTGAAAATATTTTCTTAAAATAAATATATTTCTGATTATTTATGAAAATAAAAAATAAAATGAAAACATTTTTTTTTAAAAAATCCATTATGATTAATTTGGTCTACGAATGAACAAGTTTTACTCGTAAAGACTATGTTAATACTAAGGGAAAATTTTAAAAAATATATTTTTTAGTAAAATATTGTATTTTGCTTTTTAAGCATACAAATTATCTATTTCGCTCCCTTTAAATTAATTAATTAATTATATTTTGCCTCTTTAAATATTTTTTAATTCTATCGTTAGTAATATATTTGTTAATGTTTTGAAAATATTCTTTTCCATAATATATTTGTCTTTTTATTTAGATTTTATATTCCATCAATTCAATGTTTTACTTGTGAATTATATTTATTAAATATTTTAATTTATAAAATTATATTTATTTAATATTTCAACTAATTTAATAACTGAATTAATTAATTAAATTTTAATAAATTTCTCACTTCGATCTGATTAAAAAATTTTCTCCATTTTAAGAATTTTTGATTTATTAAGAATTTGTGTGATTAGTGCATTTTGCTTGAAATATTATAATCACTACCGACCCATTAGATAATGTGTGCTCTCATAGCTTCAGTATAGAGTCATAAAACAACATTTCTAACACAACATTCATTGCATTTCATAATATTAAGGAACAAATACAAACTTCTTTGGATTTGATAAAAGGCCTAACAATGTGTTTATATATATATATATATATATATATACACACACACACGCACACGTAATATGTATAATCCTCTTTTTATCCATCAGTAAAAATTTTGATTTAAATTCGAAACTTTTCACTTCTCAACCAATTAAATTACATTTGGTTGGAGAACTTTTAGTTTCTTTCATTATTTTTATGAAGTCAAATTAGATCATCACAATTTAATCGATAGAATGCAAGTTAAATAAAAAATCCAATATAATCCAATTTTAGATTCCTATCTCTACTGGTTAATCTTAATTTATATTTTGAAAAAAAATATCTTTCATCTTTTCTTCCCTTTTTTTTCTCTCCTCATTTAAGTGTAAATATATTATTTCTACACACAAAAACATATCCTAATAATAAGTACACATATGATCTGAGAATAGATTTAAATTTGAATCTTCTTCCCAATGCTCAAGAAAAAAAACAAACTATATCATTTGCAACAGCCCACGCTCCTTATTCACGTTAATTTTTGATTTAGATATCATATATGTTTTGAAAAAGATTTAGATATTGGATATGATGTCTGTCAAAATTAATAAATAAAATTAAATTTATAGAAAGTTTTTTTTTTTTAATCATCTGTTCCGAAGTACACTAGCCTAATTAATCAAAAATTTTATTAGAATTTTATTTAAAAAAAAAACAAAAACGACAAATTGTTGGAGCGCAATTCGGGGAAGAAAAAACGAGAATCGCGGACTCGAGTCCGTCGTTGCGTGTTGTTGGTGGTATGCTATTATTGATGTCCAAATCTAATCACTACCGTCTTATAGGAACAAACTTGTTTTTATCAGCAAAACTAAAATATATTTTATAATGTTTAGGAAAATTTAAATGTATAGCAACAATCTTATGGAAAATGGAACATAATCAATTTTCATTCAATTATATAATTTCACAATTAAATTACAATTTAGAATTTGAAATCTGACCATAATTACTATTCAGTCTCTCTCTATATATATATTTGAGAATAAACATAGAACTATTCATTGAAAAAGTGCAGCCGTATCAGCATACACAAAAGGGAACAAACAATATGGGAAATTATCATAATTACATGTCTAAATTAAAAATTTATCACAAATCTCAAAAAAAAAAAAAAAATCACGAAGTTAAATTTTGCATTAAAAATTTCTAAATTATTTTTGGAAATTACATGTCTAATTGAAAAAAAGAAACATTATATGACAAGTTTTATTTTGTTTTTCTTTCTTTTGAATTGATTAACTTTCCGTCTAATGACACGAAATCAAGATTAAGGACAAAAAGAAATTGCTAATTAAAAGAGATATTCGTGGCCACTTTGGGAGATTTCTATCAATCATACAATCCACAACATGATCAAAGGTAAGTGGGTCCACCAATTGCAAAGGAAAAATTGACAAAATGCGGGACCCGATAGCCTAAGGACCATCAATCATCACGTGCCAGAGATGGCCGCATGACACCTCATGGTCCTCCTCACATTTATTTAGTGACTTTTCGGATGTACTTGCACACACTGTTGCACGAAGGTAAAATATGAGGGGCAAAGCTGTTTTTTCTTGTTTGAAAGAAAAGAAGGAATTTCTAAATTGCAGAAAAATAAAAAAAATTTTATTTGTCTAGAAGAAAAAATTTTATTCTTTTAAGGAAAAAATTATCTGCATTTATTGCAGAAATCATTTATATACCAAATAAATTATAAACGGTATTTTAGTTTAAAAATAATATTTTAAACTATATGTTAAAAAAAATAAAATGATAATATTTTAATTTTTTATTGTTAACCTGGTGTATGGTTGCAGATAAAAAATTCTCAAAATTAACACTTAAGTTTTGTATGTTGAAGAAGTAATTAGGATATCCTTAATTTATATTTTTCACAAATCAATTTTATAATTTAGGAATTCAATTACTATATTTTATCTTTTTTTTTATATGGAAAGATTTTTTTCTCTTTATTTTTCCTTTTTATTTTATTTTCTTTTTTCTTCATTTTACTTCTGGTAGATTATATTTTTCTCGTTATCAGATATACTGTCTCTAAGATTTTCTCACTCTTCAATACCGCCACAAAGAAATTTTCTTTAACTTTTTTATTTAATTTTATTTGACGACCCTTCTCTTCCATTTAGCACCTTTCGTTTCTTTTCCTTTATATAACACCGCTGAAAACAGCTTAGCTAGTCAAGTTTCTAGCGAGGAAATGTTTCCTTTTTCTTCTTCTCTATTATCTTCGTCTTTATTTCTTTTCTTGATCCTTTGTATCAATGGCGTAAGCCCATCTTCTGCATCCACTAAGATTGGCCAGGGATACCGACTGATATCTGTTCAAGAAACCCCTGATGGAGGCATCCTGGGCCTCCTTCAAGTCAAGCAGAAGAACAACATCTATGGTCCTGATATCCCTCTCTTGCAGCTCTTTGTTAAGTAAGTTAACAGATTTTGTTTTAATTTTCTGTCTTCTTGCTTTCTTTGAACAAATTTTTTGCATGTTCCTGATTCTCAATGCACTTTCACATTGTATTGTTTCTGCAGGCATGAAACACAAGATCGTTTAAGAGTACATATAACTGATGCAGAGAAGAAAAGATGGGAAGTTCCGTACAACCTATTACCAAGAGAGCAACCGCCGGCATTGAAGCAAACGGTAGGGAGATCAAGAAAGAGCCCAATTACAGTTCAAGAATTTTCTGGTTCCGAGCTAATCTTTAGTTACAAAGTAGACCCATTTAGTTTTGCAGTAAAAAGAAAATCAAATGGGCAAACCCTTTTCAATTCAAGCTCTGATGAATCTGACCCATATAGTGGGTTGGTGTTTAAGGACCAATATTTGGAGATATCAACAAAATTGCCTAAAGACGCTTCACTTTATGGTCTTGGAGAGAATACACAGCCACATGGGATCAAATTGTATCCTGGAGATCCCTACACTTTGTATACTACTGATATCTCAGCCATTAATCTTAATGCTGATTTATATGGGGCTCATCCAGTGTATATGGATCTTAGAAATGTGAATGGGCAGCCTTATGCTCATGCAGTTCTATTGTTGAACAGTAATGGTATGGATGTTTTTTACAGAGGGACTTCTTTAACATACAAGGTTATTGGTGGTGTTTTCGACTTTTACTTCTTTGCTGGTCCCACTCCTTTGGCTGTTGTTGACCAGTATACGGCGCTTATTGGCAGACCAGCTCCAATGCCTTACTGGGCTCTTGGTATGATTCGTTTCCTTACTCTTTTCCTTTTTTATTCACCATTAATCTCTTTTGTTGATGATGAGAGTAACTCTACCTTATTTAAAACACGACAAATATGCTTCACTGGCCTTTTTTTACTTGCAGGAGTGCCTTTTTGTTTTTGGCTGGTTGATTTTAGTGGCAGTGTCCCATTTGCATTTGGGTTTATTTGCATTTGTGTATTTATTGGATTTGCGATTTTCTGAGAAAATGATGGAATTTACCTATTTAAATAATGTGATATTCTATTATATCAATGCGTGTGCTTGTCTTTTTCTTTTTTACCAAGTGTTTCTTGTTTGAGGAAAATCTTTTGATGGGAAGATGCTTTCTTTATCTTTTTTGTATTATTTTCTCTCTTTTTGTTTACCTCTTGATGTTATGGAGAAGGATGAGTTCCGTGCTTAGATGTAATTAGGACTCGTATGATTGGGATGATATGTGAGGAAATGTTGATTGATGGTGTGATTTGTAACATTTGTTGATCTGTTGCCTGCAATATGCCATACGCATGTTAATGCAAGATGGAGACATTATTATTATTATTATTATTATTATTTAATTTAAGTTGTTGGGGATGGTCCAGAATTTGTTTTTTACTTTACTTTACTGTATTATTGTAATGCTTAAATCTCTCACCTACCAATGCATATTTTGCATTTCTCCAGAAAAACAACGTTTAGGTCTAAAAGATCTCTCTTTTGTTAGATGTCGGTTTTCGAGGTCCATATTACAGATAAGGACATCAATATCTCACAATATCAAATTGTTGAAAGTGTTATGCTTTTTAGCTAAGTTTTGCAAACGAAAAATTTTGACCTGTTAGAAAATGTTTTGCACAAAACCAATTTGGGGACCCCAGAGAAGCACTGATACTCAATCCTTGCATCCGATGCTGTCCTCCCAAACATCATTTTTCCTTCATGAGGTGGAAATTGATCGATCATTCTTCAATTATCTTCCTGTGATGATAATTGCTAAAATGGGCCCATGATAATTACTTGCTTAGGTCCCACAATGATGCTAATAGTAACTGACTTTTTAATTGCATTTGTATTAACACATAAGCCTTGCCACTATTACTGGCATGTCCAATTGTGGTGAGACCATTCTTAGGTTGTGGGGAATCCATATGGTTCAATTGGTATTCCTTTGCTTGAATGGCAATTGTTTTCTCGGTGGATGGATGAATAAAATCTCAGGCTAGCACATGGCACTAATTACCTGTGTTATATTTAGTACAAATATGATAAATCTACATGCTCTCAGTGCCTTACAATCTTTTATGTGGTTCTCTGAATCTGCCTAAGCTGTTGGCTCTTTTTCAGCTGAAATTAGTACTATGCAAAAGAACATGTCATGAAATAGTTAATTAGTTTGTTCAATTGGCTGGCATTGCCATATGGGATGCCCAAGATTTTTCTCTAGAATATATGGCTTTCAAAAGAGGGACTAAATATTGTTTACCACTTCAGTTAACAGTTGCGTTCTTGCATTTGGTTAAAGTTGCTACATTTATTGCACAATGTAGCCATTTTATCCCATTTTATATTCTCTAGTATAAAATATCTTTAATTTGCTTGTTAGTTAATGCAAAGTTCCTAGTAAAAAATTTTATGATTGAAAAGGGAGAACATTGAGTGATAAAATAAGTAATTGTTTGTCAAAGGCATAATTCATACAAGAGCCAGAAGGGATGTTCTATTTGTGCATGTTGCTCGGCCTGTTTGATGTGTTTTTCTCCTATCAACTATAAAATAAGTTTTGATTATAAGTAAAACTATTATGAGGTTGACTATAATTTATCTGGAGTGATAGAGATTGAGAAGATCATATCATATTCATTTTTGTTGTTGCAGTACTTAATTACTCTGTTCACATTACGAGTTAACTAAATAAGGAAACTAGTGCAAGGAATACATGTAATCAGCGAATCAAGAGTAATAGGGAATTATATATTTAAATGTCTCCATACAACCAATTTGATGACGTGGTTATGGTGCTAAACTGAGAAAAATCATTTTGATGCTTTGCCTTTGGTTTTGCAGGATTCCACCAATGCAGATGGGGCTATCATAACCTGTCTGTTGTTGAAGATGTGGTCGAGAACTACAAAAAGGCTCAAATCCCTCTTGATGTGATCTGGAATGATGATGATCACATGGATGGCCATAAGGACTTTACCCTCAACCCCGTCAACTACCCTCGTCCAAAGCTCTTGGCATTCCTAGACAAAATACACAGCATTGGAATGAAGTACATTGTAATTATTGATCCTGGAATTGGTGTAAATAATTCTTATGGTGTATACCAAAGAGGCATTGCTAATGATGTATTCATCAAGTATCATGGTAAACCCTACTTGGCTCAAGTTTGGCCTGGAGCTGTCAACTTTCCTGACTTCCTCAATCCCAAAACAGTCGAGTGGTGGGGTGATGAAGTTCGTCGTTTCCACGAACTTGTTCCTGTTGATGGTCTGTGGATTGACATGAATGAAGCTTCAAATTTTTGTTCTGGACTGTGCACAATTCCGGAGGGCAGAATCTGTCCGAATGGAACTGGACCTGGTTGGATCTGTTGCTTGGATTGCAAGAACATAACTACGACAAGATGGGATGATCCACCTTACAAGATTAATGCTTCAGGACTGGAGGTGCCAATAGGGTATAAAACCATAGCTACCAGTGCAGTTCACTATAATGGTGTTTTGGAATATGATGCTCATAGTTTGTATGGATTCTCTCAAGCTATCGCCACTCACAAGGCCCTTCAAGGCCTTGAGGGCAAACGGCCATTCATTCTATCGCGCTCCACTTTTGTTGGATCAGGCAAATATGCTGCTCACTGGACCGGTGACAATAAGGGCACTTGGGAGGATTTGAAGTACTCCATATCTACTATGTTGAATTTTGGTATATTTGGGGTTCCAATGGTTGGTTCAGATATATGTGGGTTTTATCCTGCACCTACAGAAGAGCTTTGCAACAGGTGGATTGAAGTAGGTGCTTTCTATCCCTTCTCAAGGGATCACGCTAACTACTACTCACCAAGGCAGGAACTTTATCAGTGGGAATCAGTGGCCGAATCAGCTAGAAATGCCTTGGGCATGAGATATAAGCTTCTTCCATATCTGTACACATTGAACTATGAGGCTCACATTAGTGGGGCCCCAATTGCAAGGCCACTTTTCTTCTCATTCCCAAATTACACCGACTGTTATGGATTGAGCACCCAATTCTTGCTTGGAAGGAGTCTCATGGTGTCTCCAGTACTTGAGCAAGGGAAATCACAGGTTAAAGCACTCTTTCCCCCAGGTTCTTGGTACAGCATATTTGATACGACACAAATCATTACATCAAAAGGACAGTATGTTACCCTTGATGCGCCTTTGCATGCGGTTAATGTACATTTGTATCAGAATACCATTGTACCCATGCAGCAAGGTGGGCTGATTTCTAAGCAAGCAAGAATGACTCCTTTTAGCCTCCTAGTGACTTTCCCTGCAGGTGCTAGTGATGCAAAAGCCACAGGAAACCTTTACCTTGATAATGATGAGCTTCCAGAAATGAAACTTGGAAATGGGTATTCAACGTATGTTGATTTGTATGCAAGTGCAAATAAGGGAATTGTAAAGGTCTGGTCAAAAGTTCAGGAGGGCAAGTTTGCTTTAGACAGGGGTTGGATTATTGAGAAAGTAACTGTGTTGGGATTAGGTGGTAGTGGTACGCCTTCTGCGTTCGAGCTTAATGGAATCCCCATTTCCGGGGCTTCAAAGATTGTGGTGAGCTCATCGGAACATCAATATTTGCAGGATGTTGAATCTGGAGATGAGAAGAAGAAGAGTGTGACAGTTGAGGTAAAGGGTTTGGAGATTCCTGTAGGTAAAGACTTCGTTGTGTCTTGGAAAATGGGGATCATTGGTTGAGGACAAAAGATGGTTTTAGTGTGTGTTCTAGATTTTTTACTTAATTTTAGATTGTTCCTTTCCAGTTTGCCTGTTTCTTATCAGAGTTTCTTGATGGAAAGGAGATGAGTAAAAGATCACTCATCCTTTTCCGTGGAAATGAGTTCGGGAGGGAGGCAGTGAGCTTAGATTCAATTGCTTATTAGAGCATCTTCCATTGTTGTACCATAAAATGCAGCAATGCAAATTCTGAACCATCTTAAATTAGAGCATATCTAGATTTCTTGGATATCTTTCTTCCCTGTGCTTTTGTTAATAGCTCATATTTTCCTTGCTTTTTTCTTTTATTATTATTATTATTATTATTATTATTAATTCCGCTTAAATTATCTCCTAAATAAAAACACAGCTAATAAGCTTCTAAATTACCTAAAAATTATTAATTACCTCCTAAATGGTATCAATTGAAATTCTTAAAGGGATAAAGGATGTTGGGTTTTAAATCTGACTTCATAAATAGATGGACATTTAATTATTAGAATACTGTTTAGATTTAACTAAATAAAATCTCGATGAATTAATATTACTTCAGAAATAAATTTTTTTTTCTCGCAGAGTTCATTCTGCATTGATGAAGGAAGGTAAGAGGTGAAAAAAAGTCCTCACCAAACGAATTAATTATGTTCTCCAAAATGCATGTCTACGTATGAAGTCACAGCTGATTGTGATTTATTAACATCTATCTATCTATATAAATATGCTTTCTCCTCCCCATTTTGATTGCTTGTTATTCTTTTTTTTAGATGTCCCAAAATATTTACAAAATTTCTAAATTTAGATATACAAATAATTATTTTTTCCATAATAATTTTTGTAATTGTTTATTAAATGAAATTTTTTTATTAATATCTTAATGAGTTAACGATAAAAAAGGCAAAACAATTTTTGTTAACCAAATTCTTAATATGTGTTTTTGCCAACAAGGAGTATAATTTTTAAAGCACAAATACTTGGTGCCAACATCTTAGAATATGAAAATGTTGATGTGGCATTTTATTTTTTTATTATACTTAATATTTTTTGCATTTAATAAAAATTAAATATTTTTATTAAATAATGGAGCTACAAATTAATAAATATTAAATTTTTTATTAAATAGTTTGATAAAAAAGGCAAAAACAAATTTTTGGTAAACGCAAATTCTTAATATGTGTTTTTGCCAAAACAAGGAGTATATATTTTTAAAAGCACAAATACTTGGTGCCAAACATCTTAGAAATATAAAAAAGTGTTGATGTGCATTTTATTTTTTTATTATACTTAATATTTTTTTGCTTAATATTTTTTGCATTTAATAAAAATTAAATATTTTTATTAAATAATGGAGCTACAAATTAATAAATATTAAATTTTTTATTAAATAGTTTTTTCTATCAACAATAATGGAGTTATAATAGTCATACATATATTCACTAAAATTTGTTTCATTAAAATTAAATATTCTAATACCTGATCTGATTTGAATATATGTGACTTTTAAAGAGAAAAAAAAAATTAATTATGTCAGTTAAATTAGAATAATTTACTTACATTCAATAATATTCTTGAAAATCACATTCAATTTAATTAAAAAATAAAAAAATTATACAATGCGCGGATACATGATTAGTTTAACACTTAATAGCTCATGTTTTTCAAACTTATAAATACACATTTATTAATTTATTAATCAACATAGCTATCAATCAGGAGCAATTATAACAAGTTACTACATCCATTCTATAATACTTATCACATTTGAGAAAATAATTTATTTTAAAATACTTGTTACATTTGTGATTATATGAAGTAATAAATATTTTTTTCCGTATTTACTATTTATATATGAGGAATAATTATTATTTTAATTTAATAATTTTCTTAAAAAATTAGTATTAAAGTAAGGGTAATATTGTCAATAATTTATTGTAACTTAGATAAATTTAATAGCCTTCTTTTAAGGGACAAGAAATTCTAAATGTGACAAGTATTATGGAACAAAGATAGTATCAATTTTTATATTTTTCCCATTAAAAAAAAAAAATTGATTTGGACACTTAACGAGAATCTGTAAATTAATGTTAGTATTTTGACCTAGCATTGTCTGTTATTTATATTGTTGTACGTAATATTTGAAAATAATGTTTATATGTTAGAAGGTGGATGATTAAATTAATACTATCACTGAACAAAATCTAATAGCACATGGCAATTAGCTAATAGCTACTGTAAATTAATACCAGTACTGAAAAAATCTTTAAAAAAACAAACAAAAAAAAAAAGAAACCATTATTTAATCAATTGTTTTTTTTTTGAAATACAAGTTCTTATTGAAAATAAAAAATAAGAATAAAAAATGATATCAAACAATCGGATTTTCTCCTTATCCGAGATACCAAGATTTTTTTAAAAAAATTATAATCAAATACCAGGATTTTAAATTTTTTTAAATCAAATAATATTTTTTTTTTTCTTATACTTACACAAGAAACTCAAATTTTGTGATTATAACGTATTTTTTTTCCTTTCTAAAAAAAAAATGGCGATCATAAATAATTATCTTATCATAATACCTTATTTTATCTTATGAAACAAATGGAATTGGATTTTTAGGGTAGATATGAATTTCTTGTAGCAAATCACAAAAGCATTTATAGCCAGTTGTTGGTACTAGTCGAGGGAATTAAGACCAAATAATTAAAATAACTAAATAAAGTCCATGATGTACATTGTCATTCACTGTTTAAATTATTTATGATTTACCTAATATTCGTTGAATTATCAAGTTTCAATTAAATGAACTCAATTACCTTATACAGATTAAATAATATAAGATTGTTCACAATTGAAATTTGATTCATCATTCAAATTTAGTAATAATTGAAAATTCTTTCAATCAACTCTAGGGTGGAAGTGGGAAGAATACCTATGAAATTTGCATTATTAACACATAAATCTGCTTAAATTTCATAATATTACAGTGTTTGGCCCCTATTTAGTAATCATCGTGAATATGTTTTTAACATTTCACTACCATTTAATAGAAAGACTAACCGTTGAACTTTATATATAATAAAATTATAATGTAGGGACAAATAATGTAATTTTAAAAATTGAGGTCTTTATTAATATATTTGATAAAAAATTAGGGACTATAATGTAATACTTCTTATTTTTTATTTAAAATTTCTATTAAAATCAATTTACAATTTAATTTGAAGTAAATTGTAGGTTAGAAATTAGTTAAAAGAATAAATTCAACATTATTTTTTAAAAAAAGAAATAAAAAGAGAAATTCAATGGACCCAACCCAACTAATTGCCATATCAATCTTCGCCATGCTCTCAGATCATGCGAGCGTGGAAGGAAGGATTATATGACACCTGTTCAATCAGAGTTACACTTCCCAATTGTCAAATTTTCTAAAAAAATAATAAATAAAAAAAATCTAAAAAGGAAGGTACTACTGTCACCACCCTACAGTCACTTTCCACGCAAGTACAGTGACACTCTTCATTCGGCTTAGCCACTCGGCACCTCCCTGCCCCTCGTTAACCAAGAGCTAGACTACACTTGTCAGTTTCAAGGCACGTGGCATCCTCTCTTTCGTAGTAAGACCGGCAAAATAGGGAATTTGGCGGGAAATTGATGTCATTGGTGGGACCACGTAGGCGTCTTAGGCGGGAAACCTCCTCGGTCCACTAATCTTCGCTTGCGTAGCCCACTTGTCCTCCTTCACTCCTTTCCCCTACTCAAATTTTGATAAAAATACTTAAAATAATAGTACAGTACTCTTTTTTATTTTATTTTATCGGCAGATTTTTTTATTTTTTAATTTAACAGATATAATTATTGTATATTGTTATCCTTCGAATAATTTTACAAATCAAATAAGAATATTTCTACACTGTTTCCCCAAAAAAAAAAAAATGATGTATGTTATCTTAAAATGGAGAATATACTTTTAACAACGACTTTATGGTTTTTATGCAAAACAGTAATATGAAATTATGTTAATATAATTTGTGAAACAATAATTTGTATATTATTTAATTATTTTATAAATATTTAATAAATCTAATTTTATAAATTAACGAATAAGTGAAAAAAAATATTTAATAAGTGTAATTATATCAAATTAAAAATTTCAAAAGTAACAGAAAGATTTTCATAAAAATTACATAGATGATTAAGTATCCATGCAGTTGGTTATGATCATGATAGTCACTAGTCATGTATGGATACATACATGGATTTTATTTATTTATTTTAATTGTAGTCACGTGAGATGTGCCTGCATGTTTTAAGAAATAAATTTTAATATTATCTTAAAAAATATAGATATATTTAATTATGATGATCACGTGAGTGGCGTTGGTACCTGATTAAAATCTAATGGGCGCATGCACAGGGACTTACTGTATGACTGAGTGTGAGTGTGTCACTTATGAGTGGACTTTTTATTATTTTATAGGGGAAGTAATAAAGTATGATATACCTAATTACTTAGGATTCTGGTTGGTTTGGGAGTGGGACAAAGCTCTGTGTGCTGTGAGGAGTATGGGCCGTTAGATCCACTTTTGCTACTCCCAATGTTAAACATTTACACGTGGAAACTGTCTGCTCGTCTAAGACATTTTTCTTCTTTATAGATTGACCCTGTTGTCTCATCATGCATGTTTTCTAAAAACACTTGCATAATAATAATAATATGCATCAATTGATAATAATAATACTAAACACCAATGCCTAATTACCATTTAGATGTTAATCATATTAGTCCTTTGGTTTTCTCTCGCTAAAATTTTAATATTAAGAAATGATTAAAACCTAGTTTGGTTTAATTATTTATATCAACTGATAGCTGAGAACAGTTGTTGATAGTTAATAATCGAATTTAAGAAGCTCTTCTTCTATATACCATAATCAAGGGACACATAAAAAAAATATTGAAATTAGATATTCCTCTCAAGACCAAACATTTCATGTTTGCCTGTAGAAACCAGCTCCCAGTCCTCGAAGCTTCGTTGAAACGAGGCATGGAATTCTATCTTATGTGGTGAAGGTATAAAAGTAATATCCATGTTTTAAAGGAGTGCCCGAAAGCGAAGCAGGTTTGGATGTGCTGCCCTTTACATATTCATACCGAAATGCATCCTCAAAGTTGTTTTCTTGATTGATTTCATCATTTAGTTAAGAGGTTTGCAAACTCAGGTTTTCTCCGTGGTTGCTTGGTCTTTATGGAAGCTCGAAACTTGAGTCTCTTTCAAAACAAGAAATTAATTGATTATTGAGAGAATTTCTCAAATGGGAACCTTTTTTTTTTTATATGATTTTTAAGAAGCAAATGAGAGTATTTTGTATAGATAATGCGGCCAATGTTATAAAATGGATCCCACTGGATAATGCTAACTTTTAAGTTTAATATTGATGCATCCAGGGATAATCAATCCTACTGCAAAATTGATGGTTTCGACTTTAAAAAATATAGAACCGGATATCGATAGTTTCGATCGTGTTTTCAATCGATTTTTCAGCGAATCACATAATTAAAAAATAAAAAATTAAAGAATAATTTTTTTTGAAAATTTAAAATTTAAATATTTATAAAATAATTTAAAAAAACTTCAAGAAAAAATTTAAAAAAAAAGGCTTGAACTAATTTTTTTTTTTAAATGCTCAAACTTATTTTTTTTCGATAATTTGGACAATAATTAGATATTGGACTTTGGAAAAATTATTTGACTATAATTTAGACAACAATTATAAGTTGGATAGCTAAAGATTGGAGAGTAGAGAGCACTAGAGAGAAATAATTTTGTGGGAGAATAACTAAAAATAACGGAATATTTATAGTAAATCTAAAAAATCAACTTTCTACAAATAACCTTAATATTAATCGTTATATAATCATTTATAATTGTTATTATATAACCATTTATAATTGTTAGGAGGATTAATTTAAGGATTTCACAAAAATTTTGAAAAAGTAAAAAAATTTTGGTAGAACCGATGGTTCACAGTTCTTCAAAATTTGGAATCAAAATCGGACCGCAAATTCTCAATTTCGATTCCAATTTTGGTTACCACCAGTTCCGAATCCACAATGCCAGTTCAAAAAACCGGAAAATGGCATGCCAAGATGCATCGGTGTTGCATTGGCAGGGTTTTAAGCTCAGGTTCGTCATCAGAAACCACCTGGAATAGGTAATTTTGAAGTGACTATATTATTTTTTAGTTTAATGTACTGTATAAATCAAAAATATCAACGAAAACTTTAAAATAATATGTAATTAATTAAAATAAATAAGACGTCTTTAATAAAAATATTAATTTTAAAAAATAACTTTATTACTAACTATTTTTATGACGTTAATAAAATCTAAATATAATATAAATACATATCAGTCGTTAGTCAAATATGAAAAAAACTTCAAAATATCACCGATAGAATCAACTGCCGATTGAAACTTCTATCAACTGTTAGGTGTCGATTAAAAAATTTACATATTCGATAAGAATCAGCTGAATCAACTCTTCAAAAGTAATAAGTGAGTTTATTTCTACTTTTCATCACATTGAATCGGCCTATAAATTAAGGTTTGATTTTATTTATTTATTTACCAATTTTGTAGTCTTAACTTGTATAGTTTGCATTGATGTGTGTACGGTAAGCTTAAAATTAACCTTTAATTTATATTTGAGAAATAAAACATTAAAATTAGTTTCTTTACAAGATATAGAAACAATATTAAAGTCTCACTAAAGTTAAAAATTCTTTTTGAAATCCTGAAAAATAATTCAAAAGAAACATGCGTCGGAAATGATGAGCAAGCCATAATAGGGAAGTTAGGCAACATATCGTTTTGTAGATAAGGAAATGGGAATTGGAAGATAGATTTGCACATGTGCTGCGTCACAAGTATTACCAAGAATTACAAAATATTACTAATTATATTTGTACCAGTACTTGTCTTTCTGTACTTTCTATTTAATGAAATATAATACTACAAAATAATTAACTGTACTTTGTTTGTCTTGTAAATATATTTAATTATGTTGCCTTATATTTCATTAAACTCATCAAATAAAAATGAAAATATCAAGAATTATAAATATGCATATTAATCGGACATAGAATTTTATTATTAGTAGTTAATGGAGTTCGTTGATTTTTTTTAACAAAATAAAAAATTTATTTCTTTTAAATAATGAAATTAAAATAAAAAAAATACAATATTAGATTTTTTTTCCTTTGAATTGATTTTGATAAAAGATATAAAACTTCAACGACTAATGCGTTAATTGATTTAAACGATACTTAACATTAATATGAGTATCATTAAAAATACTCAATGTTGTTCGAGTTTTTAATAATTAATTAAATAATTGATAATATCATAGAATATTATTTTAAATGATAAAAATTTTCAGTTTTTTAACGGTGAATTTTATTTAATAATAAAAATTCAAGATTCTCTTTCTTATATTATTAAAAATTTGTAAAGTAAATATGAATAGGGAAAAAATAATAAAAAATTAAAACCTATAATTTATACAATATTATTAAATTATTGACAAAAAATAAAGAGTTTTTTTAGTACAATAAACTTATTGTTTGGATTTCTTCTTTGAGAAAGTATTGTTTAGATTATTAATTATTGAAAAAAATTAAAGAATTTTTCATTAATACAATAAACTTATTATGGGGTTATTAATTATTGAATTCAATTAATACATTCAGAAATAATTTTTTTATATGTGTGTATATTAAAAATGAAATGTTTAAATTCGCGTATGCTTATTGAATCGATATATCTAATCATTCCTTACAATCTTTAAAAAGAAGTAAAAAATTGATCTGCCAAGATTAAATTTGCCTGATTAATTAAGAAATATGATTGATTGACAAATCAGGAAAGGTAAAACCTAACTTAATAAAAATAAAAAGATTTCCTTACTAAATAGGGGGTGAAGATACCCAGCGAAATAAAGAATATAAAAAATAGTTTAAATAATATTCTAACAAGGTTGTATATCAAAATGACTCTCTATCCCTTTCCCTTCTTAGTAAAAAGATATTTAAAAAATTTTTCTTATTTTATTTTAGATATTATTATTAAATAGATGGAATATATATGTACATACACGTACACCCAATATAAAACAGTAGAAAAGAAAAATGTAGAGTATCAGACTCTAAAGCAAACATCAACTGCTTTATGGCTTTTCAACCCTCTGATTTTCTATCCACGAATCAAAATAAAGTAAGCTAATCTAGAAAAGCAAGTCAGTGGTTTTGTTGCATAAACATATATTAATCAGGCTTCAACTATATTTAAATTACAATACCATATTCGCTTATTTTGCATTTGCATTATGTTTTTTATCAGAATCAGAGAATAATGCCGAATTACTCATCTCAATATATATTATTTATATAGCGGGTGAATTTTTATTGCAACTTATGAGTTATTATTTTTTTTGAGTTGAGACTTTCGTTCAAACTATTATATAGTTTTGGATTATTTTTAATTACTTCCTTTTTTCACAAAAAGGAAAACGACAGACACCTAACTAAAATAGTACTGAGAATAATCAATGGGTTATTCTTTGCGGAAATCTGTATTTTATAATTTACTCCACCGAACCCTATAAACAATAATTATTATGCCGCAAAACTCTGTAACATTTGTTACTATCTTTGTATATTTCCTTTAACAAAATATAAAAGATACAGAAATTTATCTATAATTAATTTGAATAGTTAATCATTTGGAAGAACCAATATTTTAAATCTGATATCATATCTATTTTTGGTATTCAAAATTTAAAATTTAAAGTTCACAATTACTTTAAATGATTATTTAGTTAAGGAAAAAAGATTTTCTATAAGGAAAAATTAACAGATAATAAGGTGATAAAAAATAAATATTTATTTTTTTTATTTAAAATGAACATTTTAGCCATTAAAGTGTCAACATTAAAAAGAAAAACATTTAAAATAGAGAAGATACCACGCACGATTGGAAAGGCAAGCTGTATCTGTAATCCGTATACAGTAAGTTACTTACTTGGGGCGAAGCACTCTCAGTGGCAACAAGTGTAAATATCACCAAACACGGCCCTACTCTCGACGGAGAATATAGCAATACAAGTCAAGGGAAACTGCTGCATCCAACTAATACGTAGCCGACTCGCGGCGCTTCGTGTTTCCCAAAATAAAGCTGCAATGCCAAACGTGACCAATTTTTTCCCACGCGCGATATCGATAGAGCGTGTAACTAAGAACTCACGTAAAACCTATAGATTGGCTCACCTACTCCATCCATAAAAAATGACGGCCAAAAATTCATCCTCTCACTTGAGCGTGTAAACCACGCGTTAAGTATTTTAACAACGAAGTCTTACATCGTGCAAGAACGAACGCTCTATGGATGGTCATCCACAATCAATGTGCATATCCATGCCAGCTCATCTGAAACTTTCCATTTATTATTAACTGACTGTTTGATAGTAATTTTACTAATGGTTGGTGTGAAAATATATATTTTTATGTATTTTATTATCATGTATTTCGTATAAGGCCCTTCTTTAAAATTATATTTGTTCCGTAAATTTAATTATTTTAATAATCATTAATTTTAATTGTTTTTGATAGCTGTTCTGTAAGCTTTATCTAAGCTGCTTAAAAAAAAGCTAGCGAATGCAATAACAATTAAAAAATCATTGCTGAAATGTATGTAAATTAATTATATTTTATATATCAATTTCAAAAAATTAATAATTTCGTTTAATCAATTAAATGTATAAATTTATTGATTTACTTTTTGCAAAATTTTACCACAATCAATTTTTATATTGATTAATTGAAATTAATTACAAATTATATTATTCTATTGAGTGTTACAATTATAAATTAAATCAATATAAAAGGTATAAAAATTATTATTACAATATTTATACAACGCATCAAAACTAAGATTATATATATATATAACTTAAAAAATTAAAGAGAGAGGTGCAATATTACTAAAAATAAGTAATTTTAGTCCCTATAAATTTGTCCCATACCATAAAATTTTATTTGAAAAGTAAAGGAGAAATATTACTAATATCACTGCGATAGTAGTATTATTTTATTTGATTGCCTCTACCCTTTTAATGCCCCGTTTTGACCGCTTGGAAAAGGGTGAATGGCATAGAATAAAAGAGAGAGGGAGAGCGTGGAAGCGCAAAGAAGAAGGCGGAGACAGAGAGAGCAGAAGTGAAGTGAGAGAAAAGAGAAAGACACAAAGGTAAACGAAAGGTTCCATAACTTCTTTTTTTTTTTTTTTTTTTATTAATTTGTTAATTCTTGGGTTTTTAATTGTTTATTTCTGTGCTGTTTCCCTTGAGATTTGCGTCTCTGGTTATGTCATGTCTCTGTTTTTTACTCTGGTTAAGGTGATTTATGACTGGTATGAGTGAGAACGATAATAACTATTAACCGATCTTTGTCATGTTATGGAGAGAGAAATCGTAGCCTTAGATTTGTAATCCCTTTTAAAACCCTCTTTTTGTTTCACCGTCTTTCAGGGTCTTTGATTCTTTAGCTATATTTATCACTCTATCTCATCCATCTATTTGCTTTTTTTCCTTTTGTTCTCTGTTTCAAGGATAGTAAGAACTCGGGAGAGAGTTTCTCTGTGTTTTGAGTGGTGGATTTATGTCGGCTAGGTCTGATTTGGCTGTGATTGGGGCTCTGTCGAAGCTCTACCATTTTTCTTCTGCACTCTCTGTTTGCTGCTTCAGCTTTGGTGCTCTCTGTTGTGGTGTTTTTTCCTATTATATGCTTCTCTGCTGTTCTCAGCAGAGGTTGAATCTGGGTTTCACAGCTGTTTCGATGCGTTTGAGGCCAAAAAGGTTTGTGGGTTTTTGTTAAAAATCTTTTGTTTTATTTCTGTTAGAAATCTGAAATGGGTTTTTGATGTTTTGTTATTTGGTTTTTGCAGGACTCGCTCTGGTGTCGAGTGTTTTGGGGGTTTTCACATACAGAGATTCTTCTATACGTTTTTGTTATTGAGAGGGGCTCTCACTTGATACCACCTTGATAATCTGAGCCTTTTTTTTCAACTTCTTTCATTTCCCTGATATTTTCTTTTTATTTGTTAAAAAAAATTTTGTGGGTGGTATTGAAGGGTTTTTGAGAGTTTTTAAGTAATCATCTAGCTATGCCAGAGCCTAGAAAGCGAACTTTGAACCAAACCAGAAAAGCCACAGATGCCAAATCAGTTTCCCCAGAGGAATTAGAAATGGAGCCCAAAATGAGAAAAATTCGTGTCATTTGTCATGATCCATACGCTACTGATTCTGATTCAAGTGATGATGAATCAAACGGCAGAAATGTAAGATCATTTAAATCGAAACGGTTTGTTACAGAAATCAATCTTCCTTTTGTTGTATTTCCTCAGTCAAAGGCCTCTCCCGAGCCTGAAAGTTCATGTCAAGACAGTAACAACAGTGCCAAAACCCCCAGCAAGAAAAGAAGGGTGTTATCCAAAACTCCAACTTCAACCACCACCCTAACTCCTGCAACTAAACCAACAGTGAAAAAACCTGTAGGTGTTAGGCAAAGAAAGTGGGGTAAATGGGCAGCAGAAATTAGAAATCCTGTTACTAAAGTTAGGACTTGGTTGGGTACTTATAATACTCTTGAAGAGGCTGCACAGGCCTATGAGGCCAAGAAGAAGGAATATGATGCTATGACTATGACCACGGCTGCCTCTGAAAAAAGCCAAAATGTTTCATCTTCTATGGCTGTTTGTCAATCACAGAATATCAACAAGAATAACAAAAACTCTCCTAGTCCTGTTTCTTCAGATGATACTGGAAGTATATTGTCGCATACATCTCCATCCTCTGTTCTTGAATTGGACGCTTCTGCTGTCTCTAATGTTAATGGGGATTCTAGTGACTTGTTCAAAGAAGAAGGTTTTGATACTGATGCTGTTGCAGATCTTGAGATACCCGACTTGGGTTTTATGAGCGAGCCATTGGTTTCTTGTCCGATTGATCAAGATCTTGACTTGGGGTTGGAGTTTGGTAACCTCATTGATGATTTTGGGCAACTATATGATGATTATTGTGGTATTGAAGATCTTGATATTTGTGGGTTGGATAGCGATGAACCAAGCGCGCTGCCTGATTATGACTTTGATTTTGGTAATGAGGAATTTGCTTATTTGGATGACCATCATCATCAACAGCATCAACTGCCCCTCAATATTGCGTGCCCTTAAGTTTTGCAGCTAGGAATTTTGTTCTATGTTATCAGTAGTTTATATTTTAAGTTATATTACAGCTAAGAGCAAGTCTCAAGGCCAGAACGAGGGTTCTTGGGATTGGTTTTGTGAGTGAGTTTTAATTATATTTGTTTGTTAAAGAGAACGGGAGAGCAGGGATGAGCTCTGTTTTTTTTAGGGGAGAAGAGTCCTTTGGTTTTTCCTGTGCTATCTGAGCCGTCCAAGGGATTCTTGAGGGTGTTCAGCGTTGCTGAATTTTGACAGTTTTGCACATTCCCTCACCTCTCGTTTCTTAATTTAAGATTATGAAATGAGATGAGACTCTTACATGTGTTTTGCAGTATATTGAATATGTTTTTGGATATTTTAATCATCTCTTTATGCTCCTTCTCTGTGGTTAATTGGACTGATGGTCCAGTATTTGTTCTTTAAATTCTGTTGGTGTTGAATGGGGGCGACCTCTACAATTTTGTGCAGCAAACTTAGTTTATGGATGCTGCATTTCTGAAGGATAATACTGAAAATACATCGCCACTTGAAATAGAACCTTTGGAGTCCATTTTTCCTAAAGCTGAAAAAGAGAAGGAAAGAGTAAAGAATTAAAGAATCCGACATTCGCATCCTCTGTTCTTTCTTTTTTGAATGGGATCTTCTTGTTGGGAGTTGAAAAATATTATATTGATGTATATTATCCTTCAAGTTTGGTTGTACTTTCATTTCTGCGAACAGTTTTTTGACTCGTCATAATAATGAAGAAAATAATGCAATCGTTTGATTAACATTCATGGGACAAAGTAGAAATAAGATAATTAACTGAAATAAAGTTTAATACAGAGATATAATAGAAATGAGATAATTAATATTACTTTTAATTTTTTAAAGGTGCCATTTATATGTAAAAAAAGGAAAATTAAAACTTTGACGGAATGGAGGGAGTAAGTAATAAGCTAATAATCTATGAGACTTTCCAGAAAGGGATAAGAGATGTTGCTGGTAGAGTTAGTCTAAAGAAGGTACTTACTACTTAGAAGATTGTGGGGGCCAAAGGTAATTTAGCTTTGCAAAGCAAAGATGATAGTGTAATCTTGAGGATCCTTTTATAAGCTTAAGATGGATTCTAAATTGCAATTTCTATCCACTATTTGGTCCTTTTAGATTCTCTTATTTAATGAATCTCTCTTTCTATTCTTTTTTTTTTTTTTCTTTTTATTTGAAAGCAAAGCAAAAAAACCATACATTGATTATTGTAAATGGGTGATACACAATGTAGAATATCTTTTCGGAGTTGTAGACGAGCACAAGAATAAAATATTTAAAATAAACTACGAAAGTCTATATTTGACTTATTTCATAATTCATTTTATAGCCACATTATGCTTAAAAGCTAATAAAATCTTACGATCTTTTAAAATAAGTTAAAGTTCAAGCAAGTTCAAATATGAAGAATTTAAAAGATAAAGACTAGTTTGACAATATGTATAAATGCATCCGAGTGAAAGTCTTGAATTGTGAAATTGTGTCCCGTACATGATGGGTACATGTACTAGAACTAGTATTAATACTCTAATAGTGATATATTCATGTTGGTTGATCTCGTTAATTTATAATTGAACTAAGTTCTGATTTGAAGAAGAATAAGATTTTGTAAATTATTCATTTTGGAAGTAGTAAACTTTATTAGTATATAAAAATTCATCTACCTAAAAAAAATCAAGTGAAAGGAAAAGGTTGAATGGGTCATCCACAAACCATCTATGCATAGAAATTATATTAGGTGTGGAATGATATAATCATTCATTAGAAAATATTAGTTGAAAGTTTGAAATATCTTCCACTTCCCCCTCTTTCTAAAAGAATCATATTCATAAATAACAACAATAAGGTCATTGACACGTGGAGATGTTTCTTCTAGTGAAAAATGGGACATAGAAAATTAATGTGTAGAGTTGATATTTTTCTACTAATAATCTAATATGGCATGTTTATGGGTGCTCTATAGATCAATGGGTGCACAATCTTTACCCACATATTTATAATGGTGGGTGGATTGCCATTTGGTACACCTCATAACCTAATTAAAAAATATATACATATTTGGTTGTTGACAGATTTAATTGCATTCAACTTCCTTTCAATTTCAAGTTCTCATTTTTAGAATTTTCCCTATTGGATTGTTATTAAATTGCATACCATTAATTGGCTATTAGAGGTTTACCATTTTAATTATGATACTAGACTTTGTAATATTAGAGGTTTATATTTGAGTTTATTAGAAACTATGTGAAGTGTTCTTAGGGAAAAATATTTAATATGATATAACTTATTAATTTCAAAATGAAAAATCAAGGAAGTTTAAATTCATAAATAATTAATAAGATATTATACATTATTTAATATTAAAAATTGCAAAATCAATTAAACTAACATTCACAATATTATAATATTCAAACTCGACTTGATATTAATAAAATTAAATAAAGTTTGAAAGCTTTATGGGTTAAATTTAAATAATTCAAAGAATACAAAACCTCTATTAGTAATAGATCTATGTTTAAATCCCTTCTTTCCGTTACTTAAAAAAAAACTTGTTTATTTTAATTTATTATCGTTTAGATATTTGCATTGAATTTTCTTATAAAAAATTAAAAATTATCAAATTTAATGGAGACGAAGGGAGACGCACAGGAATAAGACAACGAATCAGAAATTTGTAATGTAAATGTGGTGTAAAAATGCAGACCACTTGTAGGAAAAGGAGATATTAAGTGCATTTGGGTTTAATCACTCACCTAACAAAGCAGCCTACAAAAGTACAAATCAAGATAAGCTTAATTTAATTAAATAAATAGGACAATAATCTTTGTGTTTAAATGGTTCAATTTCTTTGTCAATTCGTTTCTCCGCATAAATTAAATGATTTTATTTTTTGTATCCAATCCAATTTGACAAAAAGAAGTATCCAACCAAAATCCATTGATGTTGAAATTCCTTTGTCTTTGTGCTTTGGAATTTACTTTGCTGTTTCCATCAGCCTCTACCTATAATTTCTGGGGTAGATAAAGTTTGAAGAACAACAGGGGTTTCAAACTCAACTTTTTTTGAGATGTAAACTTACTTGGATCAACTGCAATAAAAATTCTTCAAGGAATATAGAGAAAAAAATATATATATATGGCTTTATAAGAAATGAAAATTTATATTCATTTCTTATTATATTAAATTATTTTTCAGTTGAAAAATAAATTTAAATTCCGTTATATAACTATTAGACCTAGACATGGTCATTGTTGCCAATTAAGTGTGGTCTGATTGGTTTTCTCATTTATATGAGGAGTGAGAAGTTTCGAGTTTAAGTTATTTCGACAAAATAATTTTCACTGATATGATGAGCTAAGAGGAGAGTTACTCCTATTGTCTAACTCACGTTCAAAATAATATGCTTAGTCCATTCCATACCGTCACTTTTAGTTTATGTTTGGTTTACTAATATATTAACAAAAAGTTTGTGTACATAAATAGCATTTTGTCTTTTTTAATCTCTCTCTGTTTCTTTGATAAAAGCTACGAAATGGATCCCACTCCCATCACTACGAAACTTCCTCCAACAATATCTCTTCTTTCTTTGTCTAAATCATTTACTTTTTTTTTTTTTATAATATTTAAAAATCTTTATCTATGTATTTATATATTTACCAATTCATCACTTGCTTTCTCTCCAAGAATAAGCGTTCAAAAGTCCACATCACACCTCTTTTCCATAGAAAATCATATTCTGGAAAGTGGAAAATTTTTCCAAACTTTCCACCAGTATTTTGGAGAGTTGGAATTGTGGACTTCTTCTTATACTCGTCTTGCTATATTCATGACTTTTAATTTTTTACATGTTTATATCTTTGATTTAATTATTATTCTCTAAAATCATTCATCCTTTTATATATATATATGTATATATATATATACTCGATAAACTTCTATAATAAATAAAAATATTGCGATTTAAATCTGTATCTATTACATAATTATGATATGTATTAAACTAGTTGCAGGTGAAGTCATGACATGTAAGGGTGTAAACGAGTCGAGCTGAGCTCGAACCTATCAGGCTTAAAGCTCGGCTCGAAACGCAATAAACCTGAAAATTTTAGATTTGATCTCTATTTGAGATTTGAGTTTAATTTGAAAAATTTTAAACTCAATCTCGCCTCAAGATTTGAGTAAGTGTAAACTAAATATTATATTTATGTATATATAAAAACTTGATAAGGTTGGCAAGACTCTATAAAACTCAACGAACTTTCGAATTGAAAATTACTAGGCTCAAGCTCGATTCGAGTTGAACTTTTTCAAACTTTTTGGAGCCAAACTTGAAAGCTCAGGAGTCGGCTTAGCTCATTTACACCCCCTAATGACATGTATTCACCAACACGGGTCGTTTTAGTAACTGTCGATTGTTTTATTGCTGTTAGTGCTAGCTATTAGATATTAGTCCTTATACGGTGGTTAAATTAATCTTTCTGAAATGCTAAACAGTAGAGAAATTAACGATTCATGAAACACTCATTCTAACCTCTAAAATACTACTATAAACATCACATTAGAGTTTGATTAACTGAGAAACCCAATTCAATTTAACATCTTGGCTTTGCCCTGAGATGGAAGATTTTAATTTGTCAGTAGTTGGAGGAGCATGCATGTAAAGCTGTAATGCAATAGAAGCATAATAAAGAAGGACAAAGTGTTAGTTACAGTTGCTGCTCTTTAGGGTTGAATAAATAAGTAATTATTTAATGATATTTTATCATAGTTGATATATGGTCATTAAAAGTTTTTAGGTCCACTTGGCAGAAACAAGCTTGGAATATTGTATTAGAAATAGTAGTAGGCTTGTGCAATGGCTACCTTGTATTGTGGACAATTTTAAGGTGTCAAATAAGAAAATTAGACAGGACAAAAATATTTGTTGTTCAAAGTCATTGATCCACTAAACATACCATTGAATGGTAATGAAACTTCAAGGTTGACTAGCTTATTTCTTTTCCACCAACAAATATTTGAAATAATGAATAGGACTATCTAAAACCAAATTATCGACTAACTTGATGCAATTTGTGAAATTTGATTAATTTAATATTTATTAATTTATTAAATAATCAAAAAATTAGGATATTTTAATTAAATAATCAGTTTAGTTTAGTTCATGAATAATAATTTGATGATTTCTACATAAGTTTGTTCATTTTTATATTGGAGACTGGAGAGATTGGAACCCTACAAATAAATTTCATGCCATTGACTTTGTTGGAGCCCAGTAGAAATTAGCCTAAAGGAGACTGAACAATGGGCCAAAGCCCAGCTCAAAAGAGAAAAATAATGAAATAAGAGAAGAAGACTGAGGAATGGGGGCTGAGGAACAAACATTAATCCCAAGCGGTGATATAAAATAAAAGCCCTAGAGTAGAAGAATTTGTTTTGCCCTAGAAGAATACAATTATTAATTATTTATTTTTCAAACATCAGTTTTTGAAGGGAAATACATAACAAAAAGAGTTGTGGGGTTTTAGAGAAATCCCTTGTCTTGGAAACTCTTGATGCAATCATCAAACATCTGTTCAAGTGTTCTGAAAGGAGGGAATCCCAGCTGAGTAATCTTGGTGGTGTCCATGCTATGTGGATTGTTGTCTCCTTCCTGGCTGCTACACCTAAATGGCCACAAGAAGTTAACTACTACCATTCAATTTAGTTAAGTGCATGTTGGACAATTAATTACTAGCTGTTTTAATAGCGTTTAACTGTTTGAGTAATTAGGTTGTGTACAACAACAACTTTTTAAGTAGATTAGAGGTTAAGATAGTGTTTTATAAAATATTAACTCATGTAACATTTTGCTTTTAGCTTTGTATGAAAAACTACCCAAATAACTAATAGCTATCAAAATAATTAATTTTGCCGAATAGTCCCTTAATAGTTGTTTGATTAGTTTTTCATAAAACGATAAAAGATAAATATTACAGGAATTAACCTTTTATAAAATGTTGACTTAACCTCTAAAAGTTAATTTTACTGAATACTAACATGCTACTTAAAAAACTGTCAAACACAACTTAAATTTATAAAAATAAAATGCAAATTTTCTTTATTCCTGGATTGAGCCTGGTTTGGGAATGTCAAACTTTTCAAAAGCTTGAACACATGCAAACTCCTAATTTTCCTTACAAATTAAAGCTTGTCAGGCTCTAAAGAATTCTAGATAAGAGGGATAAGAGGCTGTAATGTCAGTTTAATAAAATTATTGGACTCACTTGTTTTCATATGGATAAGAGGGATATTTAGCCCTCAACATTTCTATTATTTCTGACCAGTGAGCAACTGAACTTGAGCATACTAGCCTGCCTGATGCTCTGCTATCCTCCATTGCTAATATGTGAGCAGCTATCACGTCATCTATGTGCACAAAACCCACTGTTGTGTTTGGATATTGTCCTAGAGAACCTGATAAATAAACAAGTTATGCAAAACTTTCAGACCTAAAATTAAAAAAAATTAAGAACATAATTATAAATTGTTGCTATAAATCAAACCTTTAACAATGGATAATATAAGGTGCAGGGTACTGGTAGGTTGTGGAGCAAGCAATGGACCAACTACAAAAGATGGATTCACCACCACTAAATCAATCCCACTTTCCTTTGCTATTCTCCATGCCTCTGTCTCCCCTATAGTCTTTGCATATGCATACCATAGCTGCAATCAATCAACAATTTAGTATTTTTCATATCCGACCCGAACATATAATCCATAATCATTTCCATTTTTTAAGGAAACTTTACCTGTAAGCTAAGAGTTTGAAATTTTGAGCAAATTCTCCTAATTTATATAATTTTTTAGAAGTTGCTATTAGAAATAGTAATGCCAACCAGTTGAATTCAAACATAGGAATTAGAAATTAAACAGAGCAAAGAAACCATATTATTACATTGTAGCGTTTGCAGTAGTCTGTGTCACTCCAGTGTGACTCATTAAGAGGGCAAACTTGCTGGACATCATATCGGTATCTAATAGAAGAGCAAGAAGAGGTGAGCACTACTCGTTTCACGCTAGTAGCTTTAGTGCAGGAGCTAAGCACATTCAAGGTTCCCTTTATACATGGATCTATCAGAGTTGCCTGCAAAATATTTAATCGTACAAACATCCAAGTCACAAAAATGAACTAATTGGGAGTTTTTGAAGCTAGGAAAATGAGTTAAACATTGCCTGAACGTTATCATCATAAGAAACAATAACTGGTGATGCAGTGTGGAAGACACCATCAACGCCTTGGATTGCCTCATCAAAGCTTCCTTCCACCAACAAATCAGCTTTTAAAATCTTTAATCTCTCTTTGGCTCCATTAAACTCTCTCAGAAAGCCAACCTTTTCAGAATCTCCTAAAAGAAAAGAAATTGAAGATAAAATTAAGACTATAAATGAATATACTGAGTTAATTTGTGTAGAGAATTAAGATTACTGATACCTGGATCTCTTACAGTGGCTCTGACGGTGTGGCCTTTGTCTAACAGAGATTTGATCAAGTATGCGGCTATAAAGCCTGTGCCACCTGTTACGCAATACTCCGGCATCTCGCCCTTGTGGTGATTGGTTAATAAGCGCTATATTTATATGCAGTGGGTCTGGAAAGAAATGAACTACTGTATAATATCGTATATCATCAAGATTGACTTGCTTAATAGTTTACTCATATTAAATTAATAAATAATAAATTATTTTACTGAAACGAGTACATTTTTTTACTATATATACTAGAATAAAATAAAATATAATTTTTAAAAAAATTTATTTTTTTTATTTGATTTATAAATGGAGCTATATATTGATATATCGATGCCCAAAAGAATTTAAAAAGAGGCCAAATTAAAACATATAATTTATAAAAACAATATATATAGAAAGGGGAGAATATGTGGAGAATAGTGAGACTTCCTATATTACCCTTAATGAAATTTAATGTTATAAAGTACTTTAATGATGGCCAATTAAAAAATTATAGTTTATTAGTTGATTGGATATAATTTGTAAAAATTATTTTTTCAACCAATCATGTGCGACCTGATTATCTTCTCACTTACGTGAGGGGTAAGAAGTCTCGAGTTCGAATCATCTCGATCACAAGATAAGTATTTTCACCAATTCAATTATTGTTTAGCTCACAGTGTTATTTCAGCCCATCAGGCTATTAAAAATAATTATTTTTTAAACAAATACATATAAACAATTAAGCATTTCAAAATTTTAAGTTTTATTTTTATTAAATTTATTTTTAATGAATATATATGATAATGAGATATTTGAAAATTTCAAAATTTTAAGTTTTATTTTTATTAAATTTATTTTTAATGAAATATATATGATAATGAGATATTTGAAAAATTTTTATATTTTTATTTATTAAATATTTAATTCTTTTAGAAAATAATATATAAAAAAAGAAGAAAATATTTTTTCCTTTATGTTTGTAATGATATGATTGGATAATTTTTAAAAAATAAAATTTCAAATAAAATATATGAATATTTTATTTAGGAAGAGAAATAAAAAGAAGAAAAGTATATTATTTTTTAATTAATATTTTTTTATTTTTTATGTTTTGTAAGATTGATAATATTTTTATTTTTTATGTTTGTAAGATTTGATTGGATATATTTTTTAAAAAGTAAATTTTCAAATAGAATTTACATAATTAAACTTGGATAGTAAACGGTTGAAAATTTTAATTTAAAAAAATATTTTATTGATATATTTATATATCAATATACATTGAAACTTTTTTTTATTAGATGAGTTACCAGTTTAATTGTTGTATAACCCATAATATTTCGGCCATTAAACTCCTAATGAATCGAAAAAAATAATTTTTTAAACAAATACATACATATAGTTAAGCATTTCAAAATTAACAATATTCCTTACAAAAAGGAAAATTTACAATAACTATTCCTTATTTTATTTTTCATAGTAACTTTATTGTCATGCTTGAAAATATATATCCTTCAAGTTAAGTCACCCGAACAATCGTGTAGCTTGTGAATCTTTTTTATATCAAGTTCAAAATTTTGACAACTTATTTAAGTGAGGTTAGAGGAACATGCTAAATAGTTTAATTGACTGGTAGTGATGATTTTGTAATGATTAATGCTCTTTAAAAGTATTGTTCCATAATTATAATAATAAAAACATTGTTATTATACAAAGGTAACATTATTTTCAGAGTGCATTTGTTAATAACAGAACAATTAATTTTTTTAATATTAAACTGACTATATTCCCTTTTAGTTAAATATTATGTTTAATCCATAAAATTCCTAACTCTTGAACTTAAGGCTTTCTATTTCTTTCTCAAATCAATAAAACCAATTCATCCATGATAAAATCAATTAATCACACTAAGAAACTATAAATAGTTAAAAACTCAAAATTTTTTACAGATCTACCATTAAAAGCCAATCCTGTATTTTCTTCCTTTCTTGTATTTGATAAAGAAGTAGAAAGAGGTGAAATGGATGGTTAGAAAATTTATATTGAAGAAAAATGAATAGTTAGAAAATTTGTATTGAAGGATTTTCCATAATTGAGGGAATATCTTGCAATGAAGCCAAAATGTTATCCATAAATTTTATCCCATTTTTTTTTGAATTTTTTATATTTTAACACTTTTTTAGATCCTTTACATTGTATTCACCCAAAAAAAAATGGCGACCAATAATTTTTTATACTTTTTGTTTTAATGATAAATTTTTAAATTAGAAAAGGTAATATACTCAATTTAATATTTTAAAAAAATCATTGCTCTGTATTAACAAAATGCGATCTGAAAATAATTCTACCTTTATATAAAATTAAAAATTAATACTTTCTATTGTAAAATTAATTAATTTATTAAACACTATACTAGTACAATTGGATTAAATATAATCTGCAATTAAGTTGAACATTTTAATCCAAATTTAATTTATTAAACTTCCAAAAAATTGTAATACATTAGGAGAAATCAATGATTATTAAACCAAAAATTAATAGACTATGAAAGTCAATAATTAAAAATTAACAAAATAAAAAAAAATTAAGTTTGAACTTTTTTTTGGACAAAAAATAATTAAAAATTAACAAAATAAAAAAAAATTAAGTTTGAACTTTTTTTTGGACAAAAAAATTATTTAAAAAAAATTCAGGGGGGCCATACATGGGTCCGTCCATGACCATAGAACCGGTCTAATTGGTTCTAATCCATCATCTACTATACGTTTTTGCTATTTAATTTTTTTACAGGAGAAACAGGTTGCGAGCTGATGATTCATGCATTCTGCAGACCATAAGGTTAAGTGGGCACGTGAACCTTGTGAGTTCGTGGGAGAATCACACATTTTTTACCGGAGAATATTCAAAGGATGTGAGACGATGGTCCGCACATTCAAGTTTAAAAGAATTTGTCATCTTCTTGGTGTCTTTCTTTCAAAAAAAAAAATCTTCTTGGTTTTGCTGAGAGCTGCCTGAGTAATTTTAATCCAAAGAGATGAATCTCGTGACATAGAAACAACACAAGGAAAAACAAAATCTTAAGATAAAATAAATATGATTTATTAAATAAAATTCATGATTGGGACTGTATACATGCCGTTCGCTGTTAGATAAAATAAATGTTGATGCCTGTTTTGATGAAGCTACGGGAATGGGGGGTATTGGCATGCTTATTAGACACGCTGCTGGTTCTTTTATTGCAGGAAAAGCAATGTGTTTAGGCAGGGTTGAAGCAAAGGAACTCTATTAAAAAGCCCATAGGCCAACCAATTTAAAGATGGCAGGTCTCACCCAAACCTTTACCCAACCTACTCCACCACGCATATAGGATGATGGACCATGACTCATATTTAAGCCCATTGCTCAATCAAAATACTAATTAAGTAGTTGAATATATAAATAATAAAATTCAAGTGGCCAAACAACATGCATTCTACTATGAGAAAATATATTTTCAAAAAATAAAAAAAAAAAAGTGAAGAAAAGCCAACGAAATCTATCATCTGTAAGTTTATACTCTCTTTATATATTAAAAAAAAAAAAAGAATAAAGGAAAAAATTAAGAAAAAGAAAAAGTTTATCTTGAATTTCCATCAAGCAAGCAGCATACAAACAGAGGAGAAAAATTAGGAATTTGACTTGTAGAGATTTATCCAAAATAAACAAGAGGAATTTGATTTTTTTAGAGAATTCGAAATAAGAAATAAGAATGGATGAAGAACACGAGAGAGAGAAAATGGATATAAAGAGACAAATAAGAGACATATTAGCATCAAAGTCAGGACATGATAGGCAATTGAAATCACTCTCCATTTTGCTAGTGCATATTATTGGAAATTTCAAATTCACGGAAATTAAGGATGTCATAAGTATAAATATTTTGTCATGAGTAAATTTATGCATTAAATTAAATTTTAATTAATAAAATAAATTTTAGAACCACATATATATTTTGACTTTTAAACTTTAATAAAAAGATATTGTGGCGCCATGAAGTTTATTTTTTTGTAACAACCTCACATCTCGTCATGTTAACAATAATAATCTTTTATATTTGGATTGTTTTTTTAAAAATTATTGCATATGACGTACACGGATAAGTTCATGCCACTATACATTAATAGCATCAATTGAAAAACATACCGTACTATTAAGTTCTATTGATCGAAGATACACATCAGTAAAACAAGATCTAAATTCATGAATCAAATAAAATCAAATATCATATCTTTTAATAACAAACCTTTATAAAGAATGATCGAAGACAATGAACTTAGTTAGATAAGTAAATCTCTTGACAAAAATTATGATTTATAAAAATTGCAAAATAAGAAAAGATAAATTGACAATTACAATTCTAATGTATTTTATTTTTAAAATACTCAAAATAATTTATATTTTGAAATAATAATCACTCAAAAAATACTTATATTTTAAAAGAGAGTTTTTTTTTTTTTTTTTTTTTTTGAAATAATAATCACTCAAAAAAAATACTTATAATTTTAAAAGAAAGTTTTTTTTTTTTTTTTTTTTGAAAATGTAAATGGATTCAATCGGAGAGAAAAGTCAATGCTCGATTTGGAAACAATAGATATTAACTTGTAAAGTAAAAGATTTTTTTCGGTGAAACTAAAGATATGATAAAATAAGAAAATTGACATAAATTGAAAATGATTGAACGAAAAAAAAAAATACGTTAAATTGTCCATTTGGTTGGGCTTTAAATGGTTGCTTCTTTTTTTTTTTTTTTTTTTGAAATGTAAATGATTAATCGGAGAGAAAAAGTCAATGCTGATTTGGAAACAATAGATATTACTTGTAAAGTAAAAGATTTTTTTCGGTGAAAACTAAGATATGATAAAATAAGAAAATTGACAATAATTGAAAATGATTGAAGAAAAAAAAAATAGTTAATTGTCCATTTGGTTGGGCTTTAAATGGTTGCTTCCTCTTTCTCCACTCCTCTAAACTTTCGGAACTTTATTGCTATCTATAAAAACATACTCATCTGTCGATTTATAAAAACTTTTGAATCATCAAGTCATTTTATAAATTAAATCTTAGATTGTGAAGGTGGTTGGGCGCATAT